ACTGTTTGATTATTTCTATGAATATTGCGATCTTTTTGAAATGTATGTTTTGTTAAAGGCAAACGGGATAGGAAATGCTTTTTGATTGCGACGTTATGAATGTTATATTATATTTTATTTAAAACAAAAAGAATTTATTTTAAGTTATTTATTATTTAAGATTATTTTTCAAGGATAGCTTCTTTTGCTAAGCAATTCTATTGTGTTACCTTATTGTGTTCGAATTTCCAATGAATGTACCAAAGAAACTATTTTAAGTTTTATTTATTATATATCCCACGAGATACGCCTCGGACCATAACTCCATAACGGTGCAATTTTTATGTATATTCAAAAAAGCCATCTTTTAAAATTAGTTTTCGAAAATTGCACCGTTATGGAGTTATGGTCCGAGGCGTATCTCGTGGGACACTCTGTATAAGTAAGTAGGTTGTAGGGTATAGGTTATAGGTAATGGGAATTGTTTATATTTTATTAAACAATAAGTTTGTGTTTTTATCTGACGGTGTACCAAAGAATTTTATTTTAAATTTTTCATTATTTTATTTTTTAATTTAATTTTTTAATAAAACTTTAAGAAATAAAAATCAGCAAATGTTTTTTAATAAACAGTTATTTTATTTAACCTCACTGTGACACTGTGTATCAAAAAATGATATTTCAAATTTTATTTAACATAGATTTTTAATTCTTTTTATATTTTTATAAATTAACTACATAAATAATAATCAAGCTTTATGTGCGCAAATGTTATTTGTAGTTGGAATATTCATAAAGTATTCATATGTAAATGAATCCAGGTATTCGAATACAGCGGTATTCAAATACTGTTTTTCCTTTGTATTCGAATATTGATTATTCGAATACAATTTAGAATACAGTATTCAGGATTCGTATTCGAATACCGGATTTCAGTATTCGACCCAACTCTGCTAACCACGAACGATGTTATTCCGCCGATCCGGCGAAAGAAATCGGACCGAACGTTTACGAATTTGAGTACTTCCTAACCTATCTATCTACCTACTAGGTCGTTGGCTGGCTGGGGTTTATTATTATGATTTGAGTTGTGAGGTGCTCGAGTAAAATAATTATAACCGGTTTTATTTTAATTTTATAGTTTAAAGTAAAGCGAATTAATGTTTCATATTTCATAAAAAGAAGGCAACTGGAAATTTAAATACTATAATAGTAGATACATCCTTGTCCTTGTCCGTTAAGATAAACAACAGTAACAAATTTTTTTTAAATAAGGATAATTTCCTGACCGTAGCAGAATTTTATATAAATAAAAATTTCTTAGGTTTATTCGGTCATGTTTTTATTTAGCACAGCACTACATATGTTTCGAAATCATTTTTCCATCTTCTGGTGCAGGGACGATTACAAAAACACTTTAAATTTTTTTTAAATTTTTTTAAAATAACATAAACCCCATCTTTCTGATATATAGCCAAAACTAACGCAAAATTATAGATTTATGATTCGTTATTTATTGGTTTACTTATTTACTTTGATTTAAATTTATTTATTAGACAACATGCATAAATTGTTTAACTAAGCTTATACATCTCCCGTAAAGTGAGAAAAACATTACAGTCACATACCGCGACCGCCTGTCAGAGTTCTCGTATTATGTCGTAGAACGTAGAACAAAAGCGACCGATTTGCCGATGCCGATGTAAAATACCGAACCTTCGAATCCGATCCGAATGAACGAATCATTCAAACTCGGCACTCGGCGTGTTTGATTGATCGCAGAGCCATCGAGCAATTGACTCAAAAAAGATTCGAATCTTTTAAAAACGGTGAATTAATTCATTCGAGTCAGTGCACTGATTCGTTCTTTTTGAACGAATCGTTCGCGAACGACACACCTCTAGTAGGTAAGGTCGAAATTTCTTAATGTTGTCTAGATTCTTCTTTTTAATCGGGATTTTCATGTCTGGATAAGCAGGAATAGGTGCTATTTCAGTCAGCCGGGCTCTTCGGGATAATATGGGAAAACAGTGGGATACCAATGCATCGATAAAAGGCCTTGCTACCACACATCCTGGTCGCTCTCTGCTATGTAAAGCGGTACTTTATTAGAATTTCTATCGTTAGAATTTGTTATAGCAAAGCAATTTTTCTTGTAGTAGCTTGGCCACCACAGTTTGAAGTCTCTTATTATGCTGTTGTCTTCCATTAGATATACGGTAAACTTATGTTGGTGACTGGATGTTATAATAAGTTCGACATACTCTTTCAGGGTGTAAATCCTGTCGGTGTTTTTGATGTTGCGCTTGATTACAGCAAAATCCCTATCGCAGGGCATATAAGAGTGCCCTCTTATAGGAAAATATTGATTGACTGATTCGAATCGACCGGTGTCCACAAGAGCGGCACACATTCTTATGAGGCAATGGTTCTTGTTTTGGCCTCCACATCCATCGGAAAAAATCTGCAAATGTCTGACGTTCTTTGATATGTTGGTTTTAACATAGTTCATAATGAAGGAACAAACTTCGTTTGGTCCTTTTTTTCCCAGACCTTCATGATATACGTACAAAATTGCCTTACCAGTTTTCAAATCATGTATATCAAACACATTGGCCGTAAGTTGGTGCAAATAAAACGTTTCTTGAACTGGTATCTGTGGAAGAAATAAGTTTTGCATGTAGTCTATACAAATGGAGGCAGTAGTGGGATCATTTTGCAACTTTTCTTTAATTTCTTTCATTTTAACGAAAAACTTTTTGGCTCGTCTCAGATGCACAATTTTCTCTGCAACTGCAACTCTTTTAGCAGTGTCGTTTAACGTATTTGATTTAATTTTTACTTCTAACTCCTCACATTTACAGCAGGTGTCAACTTGCGGCCTTCCAAAGGATAGACTAAATTTTTCTTTAAAAATTTTGTAGTAAAAGGAATATTTCACCTTTATATTTGGATAGAGTTCTTCAAACATTCTGTGCATTTTATAAATATTTAGTTTCTCATCCAGGTATTGTTGCATAATGCGTATTTTTGGTGGGAAAGGACTTAATGTGATCGGTTATTAGGGTAACAATCCCTATGGACTTAGAGTTTCCAGGAGCTTGCCTGCCTCTCATATCTTGTGGTGATTTTCCAACAGATAAAAGACGACATAAACGATACACCCTGTCATTCGTTATAGCATGCAAGCTTAGAAATGCTTGCTTACACACTTCTGTTTTTTTTATGCTCGTTGAAACGGAATATTTATAAACTGTGCTATGCGGTTTTTTAGAAACATCGTCTCTTGCTCTTGAACGTTTACGTTGAACAGGAATTAAATGTATAAGAGCTTGAAGGTAAGCGTCTTGTTCATTTTTTGTACTAAACGAATAGAATTTTACAAAAATTTCATTTCTTTCCCCATCTGTAAGCGGATCAAAGCATTTCTTTTTGCATCTGAAGCATAAAAAAGCAAATTAGTTACATGAAAAGATAAAAGTAAGGTTAGAAAAACTTACTTGCAAGGCTGTCCAATTTCTTTTTTGGCTATTGACTTTCCTTTATAATTTATATGCAGTCCCTCCACTCTTGCTTTTTTTATTTTTTCGCACTTGTATGTTACCTGTTTAAGGCCTTTTTTACGTTTTGGATTCACTACTAGTACATTTTCACAAATTACTGTCGCCATGTTTATTTAACTAGGTATTTACTTTGAAACAATATAACGACACAATTTACCAAATTATATTTGAGAAACCCAATAGATCCAGTACTTACAGGGTTTCTCAAATAAACGTAATATTTAAATGCTTAAAACACCGTACAAACGACTGATATATGTTGGGTTTATAAATTAAAAAGATGAAATATGACACAAACATTTGATTTCTGTCAAAATGTCAAAATTGATATTTTGGACATAAGGGGTTTCTCAAATAAGCGATTCAATTAGTTTGACAAAAGTATCACTTTTTAAATTTAAAATAATAACGGTAGGCTATTAACCAAATAAGAACTGTTATTGGTGGATTTCATATCCGTGCAGGGTGCTTACTTACTAGGTAGCATGGATATGAATTATATTCGTTCAGTTGAACACAATGGCCAAATCAAGCGTGTGAGAAAAGTAATTTGGGCACCATGTTGCACAATACTTTTTCTACGACCACATTTTTTAGAGTTTATAATATGTAGATCTTAGATTTTATTACAGAAGAGTATCAAGGGGTGATTTTGGGGATAAAATCCCTCCCCTTAAGGTGATTACAGCACCCCCTTATAATTTTCGGACAAGGATATCTCAAAAAGTAATTTTTTTAGAAAATTTAAATTTGTGCCAAATAAATTAGGCAACAATATCTAGAATATGCATATTTTTTAAAGTTTTAATTCCTTCCAGTTTCCGAGAAAAAAAATCAAAGGGATTTAAATTTTGAAATATCATAATGAAAATAAATGCATTCCTCAACAGCAGTATTCTTATTATAATCCCCAAATTTAAGCTCTTAATCTTTTGTTATTGATTTTTTAAAATTCGCCGAAATTAGTGACTAAAACGCCTCATTAAGTGCTTTTTTCTAGTGTAACGCGTCTGTAACTATCGTATCGTACATTCTGAGTCATCATTCGTTCCTTGCAACGATTTAAACCAGTTTAAACCAGAAAACAAAAGATTAAGAGCTTAAATTTAGGAATTATATTAAGAATAGTGCTGTTGAGGAATGCATTTATTTTTATTATGATATTTCAAAATTTAACGCCCTTTCATTTTTTTTTCTCGGAAACTGGAAGGAATTAAAACTTTAACCTATATGTATATTCTAGATATTATTGCCTAATATATTTTGCCAAATTTTTAATTTTTTAAAAAAATCGGTTTTTGAGATATCCTTGTCCGAAAATTTTAAGGGAGTGCTGTAATCACCTTAAGTAATAAAAATTATGGGAAAGAGACGATTGGTTGATAGTCGTAAAATGGGCTGTATATTCCATGACAAGTAGGCTGAATTTATGTTATTTTTTTATTATTCAGGGCCAACATGGATATATCAGAGCAAAATGCTAACGAGTTCTCTGAAGCTGAAAAGGATTTAAAAGTAAAAATACCAAAAGAGTTGAAACATATCTTAGAAATAAATGGATATACTTTACTGAGCTTAATTGCGGAAATGACTGATGAAGACGTTGAAAATGTAGAAAAATTTTCAAGGGAAGTTTTACCAAATTTAATTGAGCTGGGTCAGCATAAAGAATATTTTGAAATTTTTCATGCAGCTCCGGAAAAATGTACTTTCTTGAATGGCCACAAAAAACTAATATTTTGTTTGCAAAAATATTATAAAGAACTCTCCAAAAATATGTATTCATCAACTGTCGAATTAGCTGTTGAATCTGTAGAAAATAAAAATGACTCTCAAGCATCAACTTCTTTTCAAGTTCAAGTTTTTCTCAAAACGAATTTACTGAATTAAAAGAAGAGTCAAAAGCTTTTAAAACCGAGTTTAAAACTATTAGTTTAACTGAAGATAAAGTTTTTTTGTCCAAGAATGTAAAGGCTTGGATTAAATCAAAATGTCAACCACTTACTTGGGGCAAAATCAAAAATTCTCCTGATGAAATGGAATTCAATTGCACTTTTAAAGAAAACGATCTATTAAACTCTTGTCAACATTTAATATCATGGTAAGCCCTCAAAAAATTTAAAATCTCCGAATTATCACTAATAACATATATTGAGTAGGTATAGACTATATTATTTATTGGTAACCAGGACATATTTACCTCGATATTTACATCAAAAGATTTCAAACACTAAACTATAATATAAATGTTTAATGAGTCAGCACATCCGCAGAATCTTCTTATGAAATAGTAATATTGAGATGTACTTGATATGTACACAAAATCCCTAAAATTTACAACCTTAAAAGCAGGGTTCGGAGGATATATATCACGATATATATCATGATATTTATACCTTGATATATATCAGATATATTCGATAATTTTATTTATTTAATTAAAAATGTTTTCCACCATTCTGAACATCCGAAAATGTCAATACGCCTTTGAATAAAAGTATAACAACTAGCGATTTATATGTGTTTGTGTTAAAATATTAATGTTAATAAAATAATGTTAAAATATGTTTTTTTTTTTATTATTTTTGTTTTTTCTTTTTAATCTGAGTTAAAATAAACAGTTTTGTTGTTTAGAATATAGGTTTTTGCTAATATGTTTGTGTTAAAATTTAAAATATAGTTTGTGCAAGAAACAATACTGTTTTATAATGAAATAATTAAATTTTAAAAATGATATATATACGATATATATCATGTGATATGATATTTATATAAATATCATGATATTTTCGAACCCTGCTTAAAAGTAAAACATACCTACTTTTATTTCATTTTTTAAAGTGGTACTTAAATAGCGGGTACTTGGAGTTTTACTGTGCAAGATAGTGGAATTCCATGGAATTAAATTTAGTGGAAGTATGTGGAATTCCAGTGGAAGTACGTGGAATTCCAGTGGAAGTACTTGGAATTTCAGAGGAAGTACGTGGACTTCCAGAGGAAGTACGTGGAATTCCAGTGGAAGTACGTGGAATTTCATTGGAAGTACGTGGAATTCCAGTGGAAGTACGTGGAATTCTGGTGGAATTATTTAAGGAACTGGAATTATGGTGTACAATTTTTCTCAGGTGGTTTGCCACTAGAAAAATACCACATAAAAAAGGATTCTGCGAAAAAGAGAAAACAGGAAGAACAACAAAAACGGGCAGAAGAGAAAAAGCGAAAAAGGGAAGAAAAAATTATAAAAATACAAAACAAGGCTAAGTCAGTAAAGAGAGAAAGTTCTGACAATTCATCCGAAAGAAAGAAAGAATGGATAGAAAGTGGAGACAGTATTGATGATGTCAGTATCAATTTAGAAAATAAAGAATAGAACGAAATACCAATCAAATACGACGATATCAAAGTAGGAGATTTTATTTCAGCGAAATTCTTAGGAGGAAAGAGAAAAACTTTTTTTGTGTGGTTCAGAAGAAATATTCCCGAAACGATATTGAAGTTATATCCTCTAAAATCAACAAATGAAACGAATACCTTCAAACTTGTGATAGTGATATTTCAACAATCAGGATAGAGGATATCAAAAAAGTTATCCCAACCGGATCTACACAATGTCGGCGACAGAATAAAATATGTATTTTCAAAAAATATTGATATTATAATATAATAATGTTCCTTAATTTGTGTCAATAATTGGTGTGTCAATTACTGGTACATGAAAAAAAATCAAGTGTCAATGACTGGTACTTCAAAACACTTTTTTTATAATATTTATTTCATGAAAAGCAAAATTATTAGAACTAAAAATACATAACTAATGAACTCAAGAAACTATAAGCTACAAGAAAAAATCGTATTACCTATATGCTTAATTTTTTTTGTTTTTGGTGAAAATAATGATTTAAAACAAATCATCGTCTAATAGTGTCAATTATTGGTGCAGTTACCTTAAGGACTTTAGACACAGACCCTACTGTTTCATTAAATAGGTACGTTTAAAAAAATAAAGAACATTTTGATAATTCTGTACTCTTTTTTTTAAATTTTTGTGGTTTTGGTATAAACTCTCTCTTTTACTGTCCAAATTATCTATATTTTGTAGTTGATTTTCTACATTTTGTATTTGATTTTATTTATTATTATGTTCTTACAGAGATCAACCAAGAGCCCATTTCTTGTAACAAATTGTGTAAGGAATAATTATTAATCATAAATTTTATGAAATAAAAGGCGTGCAAAAAGTTTGGATTAAAATTGGGGTTATCGTAATTTATCGAAATAGAATGTATTGACTAATAATGACGCTTAACTAACATGAACATATTTTTAGTTAAAATCTTCACTGTAAAGGGCGACGATATTTAGAAAATTATGTATTTTTGAATGAAAACTAGGACGATTACAGAAAAAATATATTTAGCTTTTCTTAATATTTAGTTAAGATCTACAAGTCTCTGGTACTTTATTCTGAAATACCCTGTATAAAAAGCTTTTTGTTCAAAATGTGGCAAATTGAAATTGAAAATTTCTTTAAAAATTATATTTTGGGTAAAAATAAATTTATTCGTTAGTTTACAAAAGCACTGTACTTACCTATGTAAAAGAGCTTCGCAATGTATTTTAAAATTTTATGTTTAATATTAGAGAAAGTACACTAACTAGGTACTCGTTGCTTTGGATGTTGTTCAAATGATCGGTGATAGTTTGATTACCGAAGGCAATTAAGATTTGTTAGTTGTCAAAAAATAAAATAAAATAGTAAAAAAATCTCATTTTTCTACAAAAACTTACCTTTGGAGCGTCTCGCAAAATGTCCTACATAATGGTCTAGTCTTGATTTTGAAGATGAAAAGCCTGTAAAATAAATAAAATTATTTTTGTTTGTTATTTGGAAACAATGTACCTACAGTTGAAAACTAAATGTAAATGCCAAAATTTGATGGTGTGATTTAATCTTTTGTTCACTTGTCTCTAAATACTGAATATTCTTGACAGGTCACATTCAAATTCAATTTAGTGAATAATTCTGCCTTTACCAAAGCTACCCTCATTTGATTATGTTGATCAAGCATTAATTACATCATTATATAACTCGTCTTCATCTGTCTTTGATGGAATTTTTTGTTTATGAAACTAGGGAGTACTCAATATTTGGATTTTTTTCCAAATTAAAGCAATCAAATATTTAAAAGGGGAGTTACATAATTTTAATACTGATTTAGGTAATCCAAAGTTCTTTGATAATAAGTCAAAGAAGCTTCTTTTTCAAATACTCATTTTTCAGATGGTATAAGGTATTTTAAAGACAATATTTTGTTTCCAAAAAATTGATTTGACAGCTGCTGTTCCATTGGTTCTTTTAAATGTACCATTAGATTATGCCTTTTATTTTAAACTATATGTAACATTCAGAAAACAAAGGAAGAATATATTATTTTGATGAAATGCAGTTTAACCTGGAGAAAATATCTAGTAAACAGGAGTCCGGAGCCCATATATCAAAACTAATTTCTTGGTATTACAAAGAAATACTTATTGAATTATCACTAATGCCACTATTCTGCCATACAGGTAGGAACGTTTTCTTACAGAGTAAAATAATCCTAGCTATTATAGTTACCTACTAGTTAAATCAAATATATATAAAGCCAATAAAGGGTACTTACTTTTTAAGCAAATAGGACATGAGTATCTTCTTTTCTTCCTAAAATTATTTTTTAGCGATTTCAATGGTCGATCGGATTGTTTACTACTACACGGTTCGAAATAGTCTAGATCACTTTCATCTTTTAAAGTAGGTAAATCACAATGTGATGTCAAAAGTTCACTTTCATTTTTAAACTGTACAATCTCACTAGCCTCTTGTTTTATAGTGATTGTGTCCACCAACAAATCAGTACCTTTAACTTCGCGAACATCACCGGTATCTTCAATTTTAACAGACAAATCCGACAATTGTTCAATTATAGGGTCTTCACATTTGATATATTCCTGTTTAATTTCACCAACATCAAGCATTTCATACTCGGTTTTAATGGTTTGTATTTTTTCAAAAGGCGAATAATTTTGTTGTGGTTGACCCAAAACAGGATCTGCTTCGATTTTAAATAGCCCTTTATTAGGGTCGAAGGTATCTTGCCTCACTTCCATTGCTTTTAAAAACGATGAAAACAATGGATAAAAGAAATAAATATTAAATGTTTGCTAACAAAAACAAACAAATGACAAATGGCGTGATACGTCACAATTCACAAAAACTCATTGCGTTCGGTTTGCCAAGCTCCTTTGGCTTAGTTCGCTGTACTCGGAGTGCACTCCTCGGTATGCCCCATTTGTGGTCGTTTTGGCACTCACAGCGTGATCTTTTCATTGCGTTCGGTCTGCCACGTTCTTTTAACTCCTTTAACACTTTTTACTCCAAACGACCCTTTTAGCGTTCAGTTTAGTCCGATTAGTGACAGTTTAACACGCTTAAATGTCATTTAAAAGCACCCTAAAAAACTCCGCTTTTGTCCCGCTCCAGCCCCTGACTATCCGAACTCGCCTTTTGTGTTCGGCTTGCCACAGATCACGTACTCAGAGCACGTAGTGTTGTGAATATCCGTATCTTTTTAGTATTCGGATAATACGTATTCGGAACCAAGAGATATTCGGATTCATCATCCGGATACGTATCCATATGTGTGAAATCATAATACGCAACCGTAAATACACCGCGACCTTGGGAATCGGAATCGGGCAGTGTTGTCAACCCTAGCAAAATTTATGTTTGAGAGTGAAGTAACAAAATAAATCTCAAATATTTTGTTTTTTATCATAATATCAGAAACAAAATTTCTCATTTATATTTATATAACTTCATGTTACCTTTAAAATATGCAGTGCATGCCGAC